CAGGGAGAATAATCTCAAACCATCGGAACGTGGGAAAATGAAAGATCTCATGTGAAAACCTTATGTCGACCTATGAACATTCTGCACAATCTCCACAGTAAACCATTGCTGTCTATGGTCAGGATTGCCGTGTATTAACGCAAGTGAATCTAGCGCATGTTTTTGGTATCAGAAAGCAGTTTGGTCTTGCGTAGGGTTAGATCTTCCGGTTCCGCAAGGACCATTATGCCATGCTAACAAAGAGGAAAATGTTTTGTTAGCATGGGCTGTGCGCGCGCCTGTTAGGTAAATAACGGCTTAACTGTCTTTCGTGTGGTCAGGAGTTTTACTAGCAAAAAAAGAAAAAAATTGATCTCCTACTATTCAAAATTTTAATTATCGCTGGAAGACACCTAAGAACATGAAGAATGGAGACTTAGATTACGGGCAAGTTAGCTTTCTCATTTTTTCAAAGAAATACACAGTATTAGGCACCAAGAAAAAGGAACCTTATTTTCACTAAGAAATGTTGAAATTTAAGAAGCCTATGACCACACAGACGGATAGGGGATAGCCAGTACACTCCAACACAGCAACAACAACAACAACAACAACAAATCAAAATTAAGTTCTTTATTTTTCCCGCATAGATACCCTTTTCAGGTATACGTACAAACTGTTCTGTAGACGGAGTTCCGCAGTACGGAATACAATAATGTTATACGAGGTAGCTTGCTTTGACATTTTTTTTGGGCGGGTGTGGGGGAGGGAGTTCGGTTGGATGGAAAAGGACGATCTTTTGCTTGAAGGCTTTCCATCACAACTGGTAATCTTTTGGTCAATTTCTTTTGTGACAATGTATAGATATTCTATTTTTCACGAGGTCTTTTCTGTTCAATAAATATTTTCGGAGGAGAAATCTATTTAATCTCTTTCCACTTTACTTTTTAGAGCCATGGTCGTTTTAAATAACGCTGTGGTCCCGGAGAAGAAATGTTTTTCTCGTCTGGTGTTTCCTGTACAACCACAAAGGAACTCACGTCTTTCTGAGTTCTTTGACTTTGCTTAGGAAAAACCTCTCCACCGTGTTAGCGCACTTGTAGTACTCAGTCTCTGGAGCGTTGTATGTTCGGCAGTTTGTAAAAATTCTCATCATATCGGCGATAAACAACTTCTTGGAACTGAAATACCCGCTTTTTAGCCTCTCCGTCATTGTGCGGAGATCTGAGAAATAAGAAAAATACAAAGTCCCCTGAATAAGTAGAGTTATAGAACCAGCAAACAGAAGTCTCCCTAAGTTTCCGCGCTCAATTCAGCCCTTCCTCGATTCCAAGTTTTGGTCACCTTTTAATTACAACGCGCGCTGTGATTAGCCAATTTAGCGCGGCGTATTCAATTGCACGCCCCGTTAAAATTTGAAACTGTTCCCGTCATGTCCACGGATAGATATAATAAATGACTTACGTACCTCGTCTACCCGTTCCGCACTGTAATTTACGGATCCTGGTTTCTTCCCTTTAGATTTATGGCGCGAGAGCTCCGCGCTTGCGCCATAAATCGATAGGGACAAAACTCGCTCCGTAACTTAAAGTGCAGACCTCGAAGCCAGTTAGTAAGAGGTGAATACGGATGATATGAGCAGATTCAAAACACGGCAGTCATCAATAAGTCTTACGGCAAAAAATAGCGAGAGTTTAAACTCTTGAAAGTGAAACTCTCGTTCCCGTTTGGATTTCAATTTTACCTCGACAAATAACCCACTAGGAAAGTTACTCTTGTTCCAGAGCGCTTTTTGACACACCCTAGTTCGCCCAACAAACTCGCATTCTTATTCACTCGCATTCTTATTTTCTTAATTCTCCCTTACTGTATACTTGACAATGTATTGATGCCGGAGAGAGAAATTAAATCTTGATCACTCTCCCAGACATACAAGGATTTAAAGCACAGTGTGATTAAATCTAACAAAAGCCGTTATAAGAGCCGCCAAAATATATTGTGCTAATGCACTCGACTGATAGATTAAGCTTGACTGACAGATGTTGAAGAAAAACTGAAAGGGAAGAAGCCTTTCTCATGAATATTTAATATCATTAAGTACATTTTGGGTCATGAAAACTCTTAGTAAGTAATATAGTAAAGAGCTGACATTTAAGTGAAATCGTCATCTGGTAAAAGACGGTAAAACATAGTGTTATAGAACAGCCATTAAATCTCTTTCCCCTTGTTCGCCTTAAATCTGATTGACAAATTGCCGTATCGTATGAAGACATTCATCTCGTAAAATGTTTAACTGACGACACATAAATTGCTCTGAATTTTAACTCGTTAGTTCTCTTTAACATCCGCGTAGAGCGAACGCGAAAATAGCACGATCTACATAACAAAAAGCCAAGATATTCGAAAAGCCCAAATGCGTTAACTAGCCGATGGCACTTCACTAAAAATTACTTATATAGAGAGCGTTCCTATTCTGATTCAGACGCATATTAAAACAAATAAATAAATTTTGCAATGAGTCTCGGGAAAAAGGATTTACGAACAGTGCATACGATGGAACTGAGTACTTACAATATTAACATCTTTCAAAATGTTGAATAAATTGATTAAAGTTCAGCAAGGAAGTATGGTTAAATCCAAATGATTGCAAATGATGCTTCATGCATCTGAATAATTCTGATGTTAATTTACCGGAGATAACGAAGAAAATAGCACTTAAAAAGAAAAAATTGTCTCTCAGTACACTTACGACCAATTCGAAGTAATTTCCTGTGAAGCCAACAAAATCTACTTTTGCTTAATGTTTGGCACTAGAGTTAGCTAAAGCAGAGTTGATTTGTCCATGAACTCAGAATATTCCCGCCACTGCAGGGGCTTGCCCGTGTCGTCGTTTGTGATTGGTCAACTGCAAAACGTCTCCTCAGCTGATAGGCTACGTAAATTTACTGGAAACCACGTGGTTTTAAAAATTACTGCGAAGACAAAATCTAAGGCGCCGTCGACGACACTACGCCCGAGCAATTTGAAAACGGAGGTTTATTTCTACGGTTAGGCCTACCGTCCACACTAATCCGTCATGAAAACAAAGCTTTTCGAAAACGCTCTTCAAACCGGAGGCATCAGAAAATCCGCGTTTTCGTTTTCGTGTGGACGGAAAACATTTTGAAAACGGAGCTTTTCGAAAACGATGGCATCTCGATAATCATGTGATTTCCGTGAACCGAGGTTTCTTCAAACACAAATCCAAAACTGATAACCGTTTTCAAATTCCTCCGGCGTAGTGTGGACGGAAAACATTTGATGCGTTTTCAGAGTGAGTCCTCCGCTTTCAAATTCCTACGGCGTAGTGTGGACGGAAAACATTTGATGCGTTTTCAGAGTGAGTCCTCCGCTTTCAAATTCCTACGGCGTAGTGTGGACGGAAAACATTTGATGCGTTTTCAGAGTGAGTCCTCCGCTTTCAAATTCCTACGGCGTAGTGTGGACGGAAAACATTTGATGCGTTTTCAGAGTGAGTCCTCCGCTTTCAAATTCCTACGGCGTAGTGTGGACGGAAAACATTTGATGCGTTTTCAGAGTGAGTCCTCCGCTTTCAAATTCCTACGGCGTAGTGTGGACGGAAAACATTTGATGCGTTTTCAGAGTGAGTCCTCCGCTTTCAAATTCCTACGGCGTAGTGTGGACGGAAAACATTTGATGCGTTTTCAGAGTGAGTCCTCCGCTTTCAAATTCCTACGGCGTAGTGTGGACGGAAAACATTTGATGCGTTTTCAGAGTGAGTCCTCCGCTTTCAAATTCCTACGGCGTAGTGTGGACGGAAAACATTTGATGCGTTTTCAGAGTGAGTCCTCCGCTTTCAAATTCCTACGGCGTAGTGTGGACGGAAAACATTTGATGCGTTTTCAGAGTGAGTCCTCCGCTTTCAAATTCCTACGGCGTAGTGTGGACGGAAAACATTTGATGCGTTTTCAGAGTGAGTCCTCCGCTTTCAAATTCCTACGGCGTAGTGTGGACGGAAAACATTTGATGCGTTTTCAGAGTGAGTCCTCCGCTTTCAAATTCCTACGGCGTAGTGTGGACGGAAAACATTTGATGCGTTTTCAGAGTGAGTCCTCCGCTTTCAAATTCCTACGGCGTAGTGTGGACGGAAAACATTTGATGCGTTTTCAGAGTGAGTCCTCCGCTTTCAAATTCCTACGGCGTAGTGTGGACGGAAAACATTTGATGCGTTTTCAGAGTGAGTCCTCCGCTTTCAAATTCCTACGGCGTAGTGTGGACGGAAAACATTTGATGCGTTTTCAGAGTGAGTCCTCCGCTTTCAAATTCCTACGGCGTAGTGTGGACGGAAAACATTTGATGCGTTTTCAGAGTGAGTCCTCCGCTTTCAAATTCCTACGGCGTAGTGTGGACGGAAAACATTTGATGCGTTTTCAGAGTGAGTCCTCCGCTTTCAAATTCCTACGGCGTAGTGTGGACGGAAAACATTTGATGCGTTTTCAGAGTGAGTCCTCCGCTTTCAAATTCCTACGGCGTAGTGTGGACGGAAAACATTTGATGCGTTTTCAGAGTGAGTCCTCCGCTTTCAAATTCCTACGGCGTAGTGTGGACGGAAAACATTTGATGCGTTTTCAGAGTGAGTCCTCCGCTTTCAAATTCCTACGGCGTAGTGTGGACGGAAAACATTTGATGCGTTTTCAGAGTGAGTCCTCCGCTTTCAAATTCCTACGGCGTAGTGTGGACGGAAAACATTTGATGCGTTTTCAGAGTGAGTCCTCCGCTTTCAAATTCCTACGGCGTAGTGTGGACGGAAAACATTTGATGCGTTTTCAGAGTGAGTCCTCCGCTTTCAAATTCCTACGGCGTAGTGTGGACGGAAAACATTTGATGCGTTTTCAGAGTGAGTCCTCCGCTTTCAAATTCCTACGGCGTAGTGTGGACGGAAAACATTTGATGCGTTTTCAGAGTGAGTCCTCCGCTTTCAAATTCCTACGGCGTAGTGTGGACGGAAAACATTTGATGCGTTTTCAGAGTGAGTCCTCCGCTTTCAAATTCCTACGGCGTAGTGTGGACGGAAAACATTTGATGCGTTTTCAGAGTGAGTCCTCCGCTTTCAAATTCCTACGGCGTAGTGTGGACGGAAAACATTTGATGCGTTTTCAGAGTGAGTCCTCCGCTTTCAAATTCCTACGGCGTAGTGTGGACGGAAAACATTTGATGCGTTTTCAGAGTGAGTCCTCCGCTTTCAAATTCCTACGGCGTAGTGTGGACGGAAAACATTTGATGCGTTTTCAGAGTGAGTCCTCCGCTTTCAAATTCCTACGGCGTAGTGTGGACGGAAAACATTTGATGCGTTTTCAGAGTGAGTCCTCCGCTTTCAAATTCCTACGGCGTAGTGTGGACGGAAAACATTTGATGCGTTTTCAGAGTGAGTCCTCCGCTTTCAAATTCCTACGGCGTAGTGTGGACGGAAAACATTTGATGCGTTTTCAGAGTGAGTCCTCCGCTTTCAAATTCCTACGGCGTAGTGTGGACGGAAAACATTTGATGCGTTTTCAGAGTGAGTCCTCCGCTTTCAAATTCCTACGGCGTAGTGTGGACGGAAAACATTTGATGCGTTTTCAGAGTGAGTCCTCCGCTTTCAAATTCCTACGGCGTAGTGTGGACGGAAAACATTTGATGCGTTTTCAGAGTGAGTCCTCCGCTTTCAAATTCCTACGGCGTAGTGTGGACGGAAAACATTTGATGCGTTTTCAGAGTGAGTCCTCCGCTTTCAAATTCCTACGGCGTAGTGTGGACGGAAAACATTTGATGCGTTTTCAGAGTGAGTCCTCCGCTTTCAAATTCCTACGGCGTAGTGTGGACGGAAAACATTTGATGCGTTTTCAGAGTGAGTCCTCCGCTTTCAAATTCCTACGGCGTAGTGTGGACGGAAAACATTTGATGCGTTTTCAGAGTGAGTCCTCCGCTTTCAAATTCCTACGGCGTAGTGTGGACGGAAAACATTTGATGCGTTTTCAGAGTGAGTCCTCCGCTTTCAAATTCCTACGGCGTAGTGTGGACGGAAAACATTTGATGCGTTTTCAGAGTGAGTCCTCCGCTTTCAAATTCCTACGGCGTAGTGTGGACGGAAAACATTTGATGCGTTTTCAGAGTGAGTCCTCCGCTTTCAAATTCCTACGGCGTAGTGTGGACGGAAAACATTTGATGCGTTTTCAGAGTGAGTCCTCCGCTTTCAAATTCCTACGGCGTAGTGTGGACGGAAAACATTTGATGCGTTTTCAGAGTGAGTCCTCCGCTTTCAAATTCCTACGGCGTAGTGTGGACGGAAAACATTTGATGCGTTTTCAGAGTGAGTCCTCCGCTTTCAAATTCCTACGGCGTAGTGTGGACGGAAAACATTTGATGCGTTTTCAGAGTGAGTCCTCCGCTTTCAAATTCCTACGGCGTAGTGTGGACGGAAAACATTTGATGCGTTTTCAGAGTGAGTCCTCCGCTTTCAAATTCCTACGGCGTAGTGTGGACGGAAAACATTTGATGCGTTTTCAGAGTGAGTCCTCCGCTTTCAAATTCCTACGGCGTAGTGTGGACGGAAAACATTTGATGCGTTTTCAGAGTGAGTCCTCCGCTTTCAAATTCCTACGGCGTAGTGTGGACGGAAAACATTTGATGCGTTTTCAGAGTGAGTCCTCCGCTTTCAAATTCCTACGGCGTAGTGTGGACGGAAAACATTTGATGCGTTTTCAGAGTGAGTCCTCCGCTTTCAAATTCCTACGGCGTAGTGTGGACGGAAAACATTTGATGCGTTTTCAGAGTGAGTCCTCCGCTTTCAAATTCCTACGGCGTAGTGTGGACGGAAAACATTTGATGCGTTTTCAGAGTGAGTCCTCCGCTTTCAAATTCCTACGGCGTAGTGTGGACGGAAAACATTTGATGCGTTTTCAGAGTGAGTCCTCCGCTTTCAAATTCCTACGGCGTAGTGTGGACGGAAAACATTTGATGCGTTTTCAGAGTGAGTCCTCCGCTTTCAAATTCCTACGGCGTAGTGTGGACGGAAAACATTTGATGCGTTTTCAGAGTGAGTCCTCCGCTTTCAAATTCCTACGGCGTAGTGTGGACGGAAAACATTTGATGCGTTTTCAGAGTGAGTCCTCCGCTTTCAAATTCCTACGGCGTAGTGTGGACGGAAAACATTTGATGCGTTTTCAGAGTGAGTCCTCCGCTTTCAAATTCCTACGGCGTAGTGTGGACGGAAAACATTTGATGCGTTTTCAGAGTGAGTCCTCCGCTTTCAAATTCCTACGGCGTAGTGTGGACGGAAAACATTTGATGCGTTTTCAGAGTGAGTCCTCCGCTTTCAAATTCCTACGGCGTAGTGTGGACGGAAAACATTTGATGCGTTTTCAGAGTGAGTCCTCCGCTTTCAAATTCCTACGGCGTAGTGTGGACGGAAAACATTTGATGCGTTTTCAGAGTGAGTCCTCCGCTTTCAAATTCCTACGGCGTAGTGTGGACGGAAAACATTTGATGCGTTTTCAGAGTGAGTCCTCCGCTTTCAAATTCCTACGGCGTAGTGTGGACGGAAAACATTTGATGCGTTTTCAGAGTGAGTCCTCCGCTTTCAAATTCCTACGGCGTAGTGTGGACGGAAAACATTTGATGCGTTTTCAGAGTGAGTCCTCCGCTTTCAAATTCCTACGGCGTAGTGTGGACGGAAAACATTTGATGCGTTTTCAGAGTGAGTCCTCCGCTTTCAAATTCCTACGGCGTAGTGTGGACGGAAAACATTTGATGCGTTTTCAGAGTGAGTCCTCCGCTTTCAAATTCCTACGGCGTAGTGTGGACGGAAAACATTTGATGCGTTTTCAGAGTGAGTCCTCCGCTTTCAAATTCCTACGGCGTAGTGTGGACGGAAAACATTTGATGCGTTTTCAGAGTGAGTCCTCCGCTTTCAAATTCCTACGGCGTAGTGTGGACGGAAAACATTTGATGCGTTTTCAGAGTGAGTCCTCCGCTTTCAAATTCCTACGGCGTAGTGTGGACGGAAAACATTTGATGCGTTTTCAGAGTGAGTCCTCCGCTTTCAAATTCCTACGGCGTAGTGTGGACGGAAAACATTTGATGCGTTTTCAGAGTGAGTCCTCCGCTTTCAAATTCCTACGGCGTAGTGTGGACGGAAAACATTTGATGCGTTTTCAGAGTGAGTCCTCCGCTTTCAAATTCCTACGGCGTAGTGTGGACGGAAAACATTTGATGCGTTTTCAGAGTGAGTCCTCCGCTTTCAAATTCCTACGGCGTAGTGTGGACGGAAAACATTTGATGCGTTTTCAGAGTGAGTCCTCCGCTTTCAAATTCCTACGGCGTAGTGTGGACGGAAAACATTTGATGCGTTTTCAGAGTGAGTCCTCCGCTTTCAAATTCCTACGGCGTAGTGTGGACGGAAAACATTTGATGCGTTTTCAGAGTGAGTCCTCCGCTTTCAAATTCCTACGGCGTAGTGTGGACGGAAAACATTTGATGCGTTTTCAGAGTGAGTCCTCCGCTTTCAAATTCCTACGGCGTAGTGTGGACGGAAAACATTTGATGCGTTTTCAGAGTGAGTCCTCCGCTTTCAAATTCCTACGGCGTAGTGTGGACGGAAAACATTTGATGCGTTTTCAGAGTGAGTCCTCCGCTTTCAAATTCCTACGGCGTAGTGTGGACGGAAAACATTTGATGCGTTTTCAGAGTGAGTCCTCCGCTTTCAAATTCCTACGGCGTAGTGTGGACGGAAAACATTTGATGCGTTTTCAGAGTGAGTCCTCCGCTTTCAAATTCCTACGGCGTAGTGTGGACGGAAAACATTTGATGCGTTTTCAGAGTGAGTCCTCCGCTTTCAAATTCCTACGGCGTAGTGTGGACGGAAAACATTTGATGCGTTTTCAGAGTGAGTCCTCCGCTTTCAAATTCCTACGGCGTAGTGTGGACGGAAAACATTTGATGCGTTTTCAGAGTGAGTCCTCCGCTTTCAAATTCCTACGGCGTAGTGTGGACGGAAAACATTTGATGCGTTTTCAGAGTGAGTCCTCCGCTTTCAAATTCCTACGGCGTAGTGTGGACGGAAAACATTTGATGCGTTTTCAGAGTGAGTCCTCCGCTTTCAAATTCCTACGGCGTAGTGTGGACGGAAAACATTTGATGCGTTTTCAGAGTGAGTCCTCCGCTTTCAAATTCCTACGGCGTAGTGTGGACGGAAAACATTTGATGCGTTTTCAGAGTGAGTCCTCCGCTTTCAAATTCCTACGGCGTAGTGTGGACGGAAAACATTTGATGCGTTTTCAGAGTGAGTCCTCCGCTTTCAAATTCCTACGGCGTAGTGTGGACGGAAAACATTTGATGCGTTTTCAGAGTGAGTCCTCCGCTTTCAAATTCCTACGGCGTAGTGTGGACGGAAAACATTTGATGCGTTTTCAGAGTGAGTCCTCCGCTTTCAAATTCCTACGGCGTAGTGTGGACGGAAAACATTTGATGCGTTTTCAGAGTGAGTCCTCCGCTTTCAAATTCCTACGGCGTAGTGTGGACGGAAAACATTTGATGCGTTTMCAGAGTGAGTCCTCCGCTTTCAAATTCCTACGGCGTAGTGTAGACGGAAAACATTTGATGCGTTTGCAGAGTGAGTCCTCCGTTTTCAAATTCCTCCTGCGTAGTGTGGACGGGTGCGGGCCAATACCTCCAGGGGTTTATGGCTTAAAGAAGAAGAAGTGTCGACGGCGACTAAGAAACGGATTTTAATGTTGTCTTTTAAACTTACCCATTGGGTACTTGATGTGATCGTAGTAATCTGGTGCCTCAGAGATTTCCACGGGTCTTTGGAAAGGCCAAGAACTAGCATGATTCTAGAAAAAAATTTAGTCCAGTTTAGTATGCTGATTTATCAGAAAAGACCAGCCTTGGTCATAAGTGACTGGAGAAAAATATGGCAACGGAGTTTTCTCAGAGAGCTTCACTGTGGTCGTAAGTATTCATAAAATTACGTTAAGAATGATTAGCACCTCCAAAAAAATAGTTCCCTGAGGTAAGAAAATACTAAAGCAAGCCAAATGGAAGCAAAGATGGTGAAGGATGGCGAAGATTGGGAAGGATAAATAAAACGCAAATTTGAAAACTTATATCTGCAAGCATGAGACTTCACCAACCTTGACTTGCGTCAAGATGTTTTTCAACTGAGTCTGCAACTGGTCCGCGTCGGTCGCGGCATCCTCACTGAAACAAACAGTCAAGACATTTCGTTGAATTATTGAGCAGTGCAGTATAAACCTTCGACATGTGGCCGCATTGAATTTCCCGCCCAGCAGACAAATTGGGTTTTGAATTTGGCAAAGCAACAAGAAAGCCAACATAATGGCGTCAACAGGATGTTAAAAGTTAATGAAAACCTTTGCCAAGAGCGTTTCGCTTTCTTAAATAAAATTGCCAATTCAAGCACCCGCTAAATATACAAGCCCTAAACTATTACTTTATAAAATTATCACGGCATTTTTCGATTAACAACTTCATCACGAAATCGCTTAAACAACAGCCTTAGGGTAAGAAATTGAGCTCCTTTACATTTTATTTCCGAATTAAAACGATTAAAATGAAATACAGTTAAAATTCAAGTACTCAAAAAAAGTTCAACTTCCCTACAAAGATAAATGCAATTTCAAGTATATTCACTTGAGAACACAGCAAATTCTAAGACCTTTCGGATCATCCGCACAGAGCACTCCACGGCAAATAATATTAAAAAGTGTTAATTCTGACAATTTGGAAACATTTCAACTTTTCAGGCATGGCAAAGTAGTGGCTTCCAAGTCTTCGTTAAAAGCGTAGCGCAAATAAATTTTTAAAGCAGTCAACAATGATACCCCTAGCTGAAGATTTTATTTATTCTCTCCACTGACTCATTGACAATGTACTGATACATGAAAAATAATAGCGAAAATTCTCCCTGGGTAATGTGGTACTCTAATTAAGGGAACTTTTCCCACCTTTTGGTCAGCGAGGGTTTCCACCCCGTTTCACCTGTATGGGTTTAAATAAACATAATGTTAGTTGACTGAACCAAACTAAATTAATCCAGAAGGATTTAACATCAAAGACTGACTTATTTTGACAGCTGAAGAGTGGTCCAAAACATTCCTTAATTACTGCAGATCACTATACATAACGAAACATTAGATGGACGTGCGTTACAGGTGAATAGGATTGCGTTACATTGGGTAGTCCGCTCCATTGGGGTATGTCACACAGGAATTCCTGATGTAAGAGAACCGTGACACAGTTGAGATTAGATCAGTCGCCAGAGATGTCGTTGGATCTTAGCTTTGGATATTAGTTATAGCAAGGTTGTATTATACTCACGGATTCCTGGAATACTCTCTACAGGGATCTGCCTCACTCCCTCCTGGAAACACTTCAACCCTGGATAAACTTTACGAATTTCCACCTGCCTCCTCTCCATTAGTTTCTTCACGATCTATAAGAAAGAGGCAAAGAAGCGTCTTTTTAGTAAACTAAATTGTAGTACAATCGATAATAGAGAGCTTAAGGCCAAGTTCAGACGCCGTACTTCACATAACCCGAATCGAATGTTAATGGGAGGACAAAGGATTTTTCTCATTTGCATTCGATTCGGCTCATGAGAAGTACGGCGTCTGAACTTGGCCTAAGCAAACCTCGATGGCAACGGCAACGAGAACGTCACCAAACAAAAGGTTTAATGAGCAGAGCAATGGCTCTTTTGGCTGTGCACGAGCGTTACAATCCTTGGTACATTTCTTGACCGTCCTCTGCAAAACAACAACGTGAAATGACCAAATTCTGCGTTGTCTGGAGAACATGAACCACGAAGGCTAATTTTTTAAATTTTTATTTCAAATTTATCGCACTGTCCCAGATTCAGTTTCGGGATAGCTGTGACAGTGATAAAAACAATAAATGTCTTTAGAGGACAACGAGATTCGTAGGTAAAATATGAAATCATTTTTTAAACGACGTTGTCCCCGGCGTCGCCGGCGACGCCAACGAGACCGTCACCAAATAAAAGGTTTAATGAGCAAAACAATGGTTCTGCAAGTGCGTTTTGAATTTTCGTACATTTCTTACCCCTCAACTGCAAAACAACAGCGTGAAATGACCAAGTTCGTATTTTGGAGAACGTGAACCGCAATGGCTAAATTTTGATCTCTTCCTTTGGAATTGAACGCCGTCACTGCATATTTAGACTGAGCATGTTTTTAGACCGATGGGCGCACTGAACAGATCTACACAGCTGCGACATTCGAAGGTAAAATGTAAATCCATTTTTTACTGGGCGTCGTCCTCAGCGCCGCCATCGTCATTGCTAAAGCTCCCTAAACTCCTTACTGTTTCTGGTCACTGCTACAAAGCCACCCACCTCTTTCTGCTTTCTGATAATGGTTGAAAATTCCGTGTATTGAATCCTCGAATTGATCGCGCACTGAAAAACGAGAGACAGCAAAGTATGGAATTGACATTGCCCTGTAATACCTTTTATATTTGGACATAGCAGTAAGGTTTTAAACTTCAGTGTCAAAAGTAGCAAAAAAAAGAAACATTGATCCGTGCAAAGGACACTGGGAGCAGGACAGTGGTAACGAATTGAAAATGTACTCTGAAATAATTTACCAACACTATACGTGAGGTAGAAAACGACAGCAAAAGAAACTGAAGGAAGAAAAGAAGGTGATTAAGTGAGCGAGAAACGTTGATATTGAGGAAAGAAGAGCAAAATTTGAAATTCAGCACCCGAGGGCATATATTTCTGATAAAATCAAGTAATTTTCTCGCTACTTTCGTCACTTAAGTGAAACATGCCACTTACATAGAGGAGAAAAGAAAAGAGAACGATGAACAACAAATAAAAGCTTCCAAAAATGCACTTCACTTTCTAACCAAATAATGTAATGAGAAATACTTACATGCATCAATGTGGCGCCCTCGTAATCTTTGATGTATCCAATGTAGGACGATTTTTGCATTCTGATGTCCTTACTGAATCCCTGCAAGCATTTAAAACCAGTTCAAGAAATAAATCTCTCTCGCTAGTCACTTCATGCTACCAAAACCGGGATAAGCTCCGCCCTAATGGGCCACTTGGCCCGCAAAAGAGTTAACCTACCTACTACCCACACATCAGTTTTACTGCTTTAACTTTCGCATTTATCAACGAGTTTAAAAGCAACAACATTTGTACTTCAAATTACCTGTTTTTTGAAGTATCCAATAGCGTACTCGTCGGCGTAAGTAAGAAAATTCAGCACAGAATGTTTAACATGGTAGTCCTTGAGGTGGTTCATTAGATGTGTACCATAACCCTGAAAATGAAAAACCAATCAAAAATTACGCTAAAGGTCGTCATTTGAATGGATCTAACAAGATTTGCTAGGAGAAACATTCATGCAAATACCTTGACTTGTTCATTGGAGGTCACTGCACAGAAGACGATTTCTGTGAAATTCTGGGTGGGAAACATTCGGAAACAAATTCCACCAATCGGTTTATTGTCCTTGACTAGAGCTAGAGTCTTGTGCTTCCTGAAAATATTATCGCCAAAAAAAATCGACATAAGAAATTCACCAATGTACGAAGTCACCTGTTATCAACTTGGTATAAGATAGAGAAAAGACTGGAAGCCAGTAATACGGTTTCCCTCTTCCCTTCTTAACTTGAAAGCTTCCCATTAGTGGTGTCCAATCTCTCCTCATCCTCAAATCGCATGCACTGATTAATGTGATCGAACCTGTAGTTTGAGTAGCGCACTGGACTCTAGAATTACAGTTCTGGGTTTAAGCATTGCTAGGGTCCAGTCCTTGTTTTATATACTTAGGTCCATGTAAGACTCTACACATTCTGACAGTACTTCTCTCCATTCAGAGGTATGAATGAGCATAGACAAATTGAAATCTTAAGAGAAGGGAAGGAGCGGGGGGGAACTGTTATAGGCTTAAATGTACGTCTTGTCCAGGATGAGTAGCTTCACGTCAAGCAAAATGGAAACCCTTTTGTAAGCGCTGACCTCTTGGAGCATTATCTAACGCACCACGAGCGTTTCAGACGTAGTTTCATACGTAGCCTGCATGCGCGTTTGGCTTAAAACGCATCATAGGTGGAGTCAACGTTTGAAGGAACGAGTTGTGACGAGTTGGTGCGCCTCGACGAGATTTTCCACCCTTCCCCCTCATTCTTTCACGCGGTGTCATTAGTAGAACGAGTTTTGTCCACGCGTGTCGAGTCGACTTCTTAAAGGAACGAGTCTTGTCCACACGTGTCAAGTCGTAGCTTCCTACTAAGACGCTCTTTGGGCTCGTCACGCAATCTTCCTTCTCCAAAGAGCGTCTACGTAGGAGGCTAGTATAGTCGAGTCGTTATGATTCGACCTGATGACTCGACATTCACGATTTGACTTCCGGTGATTGAAATCAGACTTCCTGTAGGGTATGTCAACTTCCGGTAAGGATAGCTCCATGAGTATCACGACATGACTTATGATAACGCGACTCGTCTAGCGAGATCTGTACATGAAAATGGTTGACCCCTTGGCGTTGAAGATTCAGAACAGTATGTAAACTTTACAATGATACTTACGGATCAAATACCAGTCTTGCGATGTACTCTTTCGGCATTCTTGGCAGTTGGTATGAGAACACGTTCTGCAATCCAACAAGCCAAAGAAGTGTCTGCCGTGAAGGCTGTCTATTGAATGAGTTTCCAACAACGTGAAATTCAATGACACCTCTTCTTTCCTCGCACCGTGCTGCCTCGTCTCTAGCGCTGTGGGTTCCAGGGTACAGGCCTCCCTAAGAGTAGAAACAGTTTAACTAGAGCTAGCAGATTTGTAGAATAATGAGTTGGGGATATGGGTGAGGACGTGCACATCCTGAAGGAGCTCATCTTGAAAAGTTTAGCCTGAATTTTTCAAGTTCGTCGTTTGTAATCCGTGTTAATCTTCTCCATCCTTAGCCATCCTTGTTCCTTTATGTTTTATTATTATCTTTTTGGTGTTTCTCTGTCTTAGTAAACTACTATTTTCAGGTTTCCTTCGATGTAAAGGTAATTTTGCATGTGGCAAAAATAACTCAAAATGCCATGACTGAACTCCTTTAACAACGATATAATTTCAGTTGATCAGAAGGCTGCGAAGAGATCGTTCGGAACGAAAATAAAAGAGGGAAAATATATTAATAAAGTCATTAAAAATCGCGTCGTATGAAATATTCCTTTCAAAGGGGTCAAGGATATTAATTTCAATCACTAGCCAAAACTTGTAGGCCGTTTTTTTGTCAAAAAATGAAAACAAGATCTGGATCTTTACCTCTGGACCTAACATGGCAGAAGGGTCTGATATTGTTGCCACTATCTGATTCAAAACTTCAAGAGGTACATCTCCTACAAAAAAGGGAGAAAACAATGTTGTGAAGGCATCAAAGACTGGTAGCTTACAACTCTAAACTAGTTTCCATTGTCATGTTAGTATGACATTTTTTTGCTAGCCTGTGCTCACTTAGCTTGGGAGCATGGTCACCTCCCATTGTGCGTCAAAATGTGCAACTGCCCAGGAACCATGATGGGCGGGTGTACTGGAAGGCTAGTTAGCCCACTCTACTTTTTGACTGAATAAAAGCGTCAGAAACCCTTCAAAGTCCTTGTGTGTATTTTATATGAGCATCTGTCTCCCAGCTGACATGTGATATCTTTCCTGACCAGTATTTTCCGCTTATAATCATCCAAAATGTTTTTTTTCTTACATGCATTTGGTACAACCAGCCAAAACTTAGGAATATCTGAAACCTCCACCCCAAATAATATTCCCTGACTCTGAAAATTTGTCTTCAATTTTGTCAATTTTTTTTTTCAAGATTTGTTTTTGGAAAACACTGTCTCATTGTTCACTTGTCAGAACAGATAATAACCTGCTGACAAATGCGCACAGTTTCGCTCCAAATGAAGATAAATTTATCAAAAGATTACTTTCATTATACCTGCTAGTTTTTGTCGTTTTGCACTGTTGCTGACAGGTGCATCGTCATCAGGGCTTCTTTTCTCACCAGTCAGCTCTGTTACAAACATGGACCACAACTGTCAATATTGGCCTACTTTGATACATACAAAGGCAACATTTTGGTGCGAGTTAACCCCTGGTACATTGTTGACTTCCCTCCAAGATATTCCTTGCAAAACCTTATTATGATCAGAAGCTCCGCTTTTAGGCTTAGCTAAATCTACATATAACACGTAAAAAATCCATTGTCCCCGACACATTTCCTTTCATCCTACAATGATTTTGTTTTTTTTATTACACTGATATAGTCTAGCTGAACATGGGGATGAGGAAATGACAACAACAATAACAACTTCAACGCCAACAATATTACATGCATATGCACACCATATAAATATACATGTATTCATTGCAATTATAGCAGTTTCAACTGAAATAACTTATCAACAATAAATACATCTATTTATTACATAATATTAGATCCTATTATTCTGTTACTGACAAGACTGCTTGAAATGACTACAGAGCTAACCAAGACAAACAGTCTTCAAAGTCAAGAAGTGGACAGCAAAAGAAAGCAACACAATATAAAACACAAATGTCTTCTGAATGACATGGGATAGTTCTTGTACCTTCAGTAGGTGAGGTAGAATTTGATAACTGAAGCATGGATGATACAGAAGATAGACTGGAACCAACTGCAGAGCTACAGGCAAAAGAAAAGTTCGCACAAGCTTTTAAAACCATGATTACAGAAAAGGCAGGGTTTTTAATTAAGCTGTTTTAAGGATGCGAGTGCAAAGAACGAGCAGTCTTCTTCAGAACAAATTGCATAATTCATGTGTTATGTGTGTACAATATAATCACTAACCAAGTTATACCTTATACACCTATGCTTGGGCTAATATCCTGTAATTATACAAAATATTGATTTGGAGTGATACAAAATAATTTATTCATATTAAACAACTTTCAACTTACTATTTGTATATCATTAATATTATAGCCTTTTGTGTCTAATTTACAAAAATAAAAAAGAGTGATTAAACATGGAACCTTATGCATGAGTTGCACTACATGTAGTAACACTTTTTGAGAACAAAGCCCTGACCCTCACATTAAACCACAGATTAACAACTGATTTACATTTACAAGAAACAGATGATCATATCACCTGGCAGTAGCTACAAGAGAATCTCCCCTATCTGTCAATGGCGTCAAAGGAGACGAGAGTCTTGAAGGACCTAGAGATAATGACTGGGGTACAGTGAAATCATCATCCCAGACAGGAGAGTTATCACCATAAACTTCTTCCTCTAGCATCGAGAGAAATCTGAAATGATAAAAAGACTATTCAATTTATGACCCAGGATCAAATCTGCCCAGCAGGCTAGGGTCATAAAAGCTACTTAACAGTCTTACAGACTGTCAAACTGCCATTTCAATAACTTTCTTTGTTTCTGAAACCTGTTTGCAAGATGAAAATTTATTTTTCTTGTGACTGCACATAAAATAATCGTAAATAACCATTGAAACTGAATGGTTAAGGACAGTCTCAAAATACTAGTTTTAACCTGATTCCTTAATTTTCTCTAGACACAGTAAGCATAATGAGCAATAATTTTCCTCACATATACAGGTAGGTACATGTATCAATAGAAACTATTAAATATCCAGGTGTAACTAATACCTCCTGTAAGTGATTGGATTAAAGCTCCTTGCTCAATATAAAGCACACTGCACAAACCTTGGAAAGTGTGTCAAAACTATGGTTCTCTTATCTGGTGGCATTTTGTCTTTCTCTGCTCTAAACTTCTCTAATAGTTGTCGTCTCATCACAGAGAACACCGATCTTAAAAGTGCCCTTCCAAAAACCGCAGTAGGGTCATACTTCTGTAAACTGTCACAGAAGACTGGAACTTGACAGTAACATAACCATCTGTGGAAACATACAAAGACAGCATACATAAATATACATGTTTCATGATAAGCACTTCTAATCACTTACTATATACAATTCTTTAAATGTGTACAGTAGAAAATGCACAGTGATTAAATTCTGTGCTAGCATTAGAAACAAATAAAATACTGTAGGAGGGGTGCAGGCACTTTTTTAGTTTTCAAAAATTTAGGGTGGCTCTGAACCCACCCTACAGAATTTTTTCAAACTTTGCAAAAAGTTGTATCAAAATATGATAACAAAAATGGATTTTATTGAGCTGTCTTTGAATTATAAGCACTTCACACTAAATATCCTTGGTGTTTTTAACAGACTGTATCATCACTAGGGTAACCTATCATGTCATGAAGATGACTACAACTTGTTCACCAATGACTGGGCATTTGTGTGATAGTAATGTCGTATCATCACTTGATAAAGTGTGGTTGTACTGATACATCAATTAGGTAACTGCTGGAAAGTGCTGGAAATTGTCACCAGCCACATTAGAGCTAGCTGACACAGTTGGGATACCAGTGTAAACTCACCTTGTGTAATTGACTTTGTATGCTNTTTGACATCTGCAGAATTCCTTTCCTCAAAAGTTTAAACAGGTAGAAGTAGACTTGTTTGGTATCAGCATCTTCCTCCTTATGCACACACATAAATAAGTTCTCAACATCAACAACCATGCAGAGGAGGCGATTTAGTTCATCTTCTGGAATATCATGCAAATGCGAGATGTGGGCTCCAAGGGTGTGGCCACAGCTACGACAGGGGTCTGTTAAGTTAGCAAGGGGCTGGGAAAGGTCTACTCTGCTTGGTGTCGGAGGGGGATTAGGATTTTTCCATCCATTACATTTACAGGAATCCTCAGCCTGAAAAACAAATATGCAAAAGAATTTAATGCAAATATATATAAATTTGGGTGATGAAAACCTTGAACCAGCATTCTTATTTTTTATTTGCCATATTTTGTTTAGAAGTACAAATGTGCTGGTCCAGAAAATATCCATACCCACTCAAAGGTCAAGGATGGTCATTGGAAATTCTGAGGGGGTGGGGGTGTCAATAGCCAAATTTTTAAAGGGAAAGTATGAACCTAAACTGGAAATTCCAGAAGGGAAGGGGCATGGGTGCAAATTGAATAGCCATCCTTGTTGGAGGTATAGATATTCTCTGGAAACAAACATGACAATGCAGTTGAACCTCTCTAACATGGATACTGAAGGGACGGAGCAAAGTGTCTGTCTTAGAGAGGTGTCCGTATTGGAGAGGTCACTATGACGACGTCACTTCTAAGTCTCCACTTGAATGTAAGTTTTGAAAGCTANACAGGGACAAATGTTGTAAAAATTTGGCTTTCTTCATTTGTGACTTATGGGCTGTGTTAGGTTCGCAAGGCATTGTGGTAAAATGTACAGCCGCCATCTTTTTTCCTACGGTGGATTGGGAGGTGATTTAGACAGATTACATTAAAAAAACAAAAACAAAAACAAAAAAAGACTCGTTTAATCCAACAGGAGTGACCGTCACATGCGTTAGTTACTTTTTTCCCGTTCATACTTGCCTTACACGAAGAATAAACACCCAACTTCTCCAGTTTTTTTCGAATCGGATGAGTCTTAATTTGCGCTTTTCTTTGTGCTATTCTTTGCAAGTTGACAGGACGACTGAGTTCTGATGGCGTTATCTGCGGTGTTCCAGGTCGTTTTGTAGAATCTGAACTATTTGTTGATGTAGATAATTCATTGAACCCCGAAACAGATTGACCCGCCATCTTGGATTTCGATCAGAATTCATCAATTGTCACCGGTCAGCGGCTTTTATAAAAGAGTATACTCTGTTGTGCATAAATGACGTGTGCACGGTTAATCGAAGATGGCGGAATCTGGAGCTCGAAAGATCCTTTTCGTTTGTTTGGGTAATATTTGTCGTTCTCCATCTGCGGAAGCAATCCTTCGAAGCCTTGTTCAGAAGCGAGACGATAGAAGTGAATGGGAAATCGATAGCGCTGGGATACTGGACCTCCACGAGGGACTTCGATCGGACAGCCGAGGTTTGGAAGTGCTGCGGGGTCATGGAATTTCAAATCACCACAGAGCAAGACAAGTACGCGAGGATGATTTTCGTAATTTCGATGTCATTTTGGCTTTTGATGACAGCAATGTAGCTGATCTGAATAAGTTCTTCAGGCCCGCTGACGGTAGCGGTCGAGCCAAAGTGAAGCTGTTTGGAACATACGATCCAAAAGGGAAGAGAATAATAGAAGATCCTTATTACGGGGACATCTCGGATTTTGAGGACATGTTTGATCATATCTATAGATGCTGCGAAGAGTTTCTAAGACAATCAAATTGATACTTCCCGCTATTTTTAATGATAAATGGCTCTAACTGGACTCATAATTGCGTCGTTGAATTTATTCAATACCTGTCAATGGGGTATGAAATGTAAATAAAATTATAACATTTTGATCCTGTAAATTGCGTCTTGATTATTATTTGGGTGTTGACGCTATGCATGGGGGCTAATGACATGCTGCAGCTATAAATGAAATAAAAAACGGTTTCTTATTATATAGCTCGGTGCAAGCAGGAAAAGTACTCGTTTATTGAATAATTTGAATTCAATTTATTTTATCCTGCGAAAATGATCATTTCGACTGGAAAATTTATCGCCCGAGGACACTTTTCACTGAAAAAGTTATGATGGAGTCCACACCCTATCCGGTAGGCACGGAAATCGTTCTAATGTTTGGTTCATGAACAAAGACAAAAAAAAATATCGTTAATTTGAATTTTCCAAAAGGGCAGACCCTTAAGAAAAATTTTTGTTCGATGGAGACAAAAACAGTCTAGATCACCGCAATTTCCAAAACCGATGTGACTGTTCAAAGTTTCCTTTACGAACCTTTAGATTGAAAATGCTTTCTGAACAGATGCAACGATAAATGAACGCTCACTACAACTTTCAAACAACATCACGACAAAGTCAGCTCCAAAGATTTTTCAATTTTTCAGCTGCGTCTAAGCTTCTCTAAAATGTTCACCCAATATAAACTTAATTTATGCTTGATTAGGTCTTCAGATCCTTTCTGTTTCTTTGAGGACTGCAATATAATCTAAGCCTAGGCTCGGCAGTAGGAGTGGGGGGAGGGCGGGGGGGGGGTATGCTCCCTTATATATAGGTATGTGCGGCCCCATAGGGTATGGTTTTTCAACCGTTTTGGTCATAAACCGAGGGTATCGATTTTAGCTGATTTTGGCTAGTTTGGTCATAAATAGGGTATGGTTTTTGCACTCTAACCTTGATATGGGTAAGTTTTTAAGAGGAAGCCACTTTTTCATCATTATCGAAAAGAAAGTCAACAAAAGCCCTTCACGAATTATGTTTGGGGTAAGTAAACATTGATCTGAACTAGGGAAGTAATTATAACGCAGGTCTGAAACAGGGTTTTGATTTAAGGGTCAGGTCATAAATAGGGTTTGGAATTTTTGGTCAGGGCATAAATATGGTAGGGAAAATCGCAGATTTTGGTCATAAATAGGCTATGGGTTTTGGGAAGCGGGCCGCACACCCCCACCCAATTTTTTTTGGGAGTACCCCCCGAACCCAGGCAACACGCGTGAGCGCGCGCATTTTAAATGGAAAGCAGTTATCATCATAGTAACATGACATCACAATAAAAGACATAGTTACTTCAAACTTCGCCTGAAAGTTTTCGTTGTAGCTCACCATGAGTTCGGTAATAAGAAAATTTCGAAGAAATAGTCGCAAGTGCGATCGCGACCAGTTTCAAATCACAGCATCCGTGACCTCACTCATTTTGGAATGTGAGACAAAAGACTGGTAAGCTACGGAGTTAAAAACATCTAAAAAGTATTTAAGGTTTTTGTCCCAAGTTGTTAACCAACCTAACATAAGACGGGAGATTTTTTTAAAGGCGTTCTTTTATCTTGCGATAAAAAAAGAGTTAAGATTCAATCACTAAACAAACTGTAGTGACAAGCAATTTAGATCAGTGGCGAGATCACTGGATGCGAACATAAATCACGTGATTTTCTGATGAGGCGTGCGCGGATGGCGTGCGCTTATTGGCTATCATTTTCCGTGCGTAAATGCCGCAAAGAAAAAAAAAATTGTAATAGTTGCAGAATATTGACCGAGCGGCGAGGTAAATATTCTGCCGTTATTCACCGAGTTTGAAAAGAATGATTTTTTTTAGTATATTAACACGAAGTGATCGAAAAGGAAACCATTGAAAGTCGATTTAGGCCCCGTTCACACGTATCCGGATAGTTTTGAATCCGCAATTTTTTCTTTCCGGACACGGCTTCCGTCCACATGCATCCGGATATTTTTGGATCCGCTCTTCAGAGTGGAAAAAAAAAAAATCCGCAACCAATCCTATAACGTCTGGACGGTGAATCCGGATATTTTCGAAACCGATAACGTAGCAAAATCGTGTCCAGTCTCTTACCGAGCAAAAAACCAATATGGCGGCACAACGTGCAGGCCTAGTTTCTTTAGAGTGAAACCGCCATCGGCTGCGTGTGGACAGGCGAATTCGATTTGAATACGCTACGTGTGGACGGGGAAATTTTTGAATCTGGAAAGGAAAAGTTGCGGATTCAAAAATATCCGGATACGTGTGGACGGGGCCTTAATTGACCTCTCAATTCATGCGTAGAAAACGTGCCAGTAAAGCATGCGGGAAACTATTTACAGAATCTTCAAACATGGCAAATCTAGTTACTTTCGATGAAGTCTAGCAAAATGGTCTTTTAACACCACAAAAATTTGCTTGCAAAACAAATTTATCGTTCAATCAAAGTTTTCATTTTCACTTGAAATGAAAATTGAAAGAGCAGTTGGCGACGGATCGATCAACCTGAATAGACTGAATACGTTGATGCCTTGATCTGTGATTGCCGAGGACATGTCCCGAAACTGCTCGAAAGTCGAAAGTCGAACGTCGGTAAGTCTTTTCTATCCTTTTTAAACTTTCAAGCCAAATTTCACAGCCTTCTTTGTATTCTCGGGATTTCCGATTCAGAAACACTGGCGAAACGCGAGTATACGCCGGCCATTTTTTTTTTTCAAGCCAATGAGCTATAAATCTCAAGAGCTGCTTTTACTCATTGTTAGTTACCATCCCTTCGAAGTCAACCATTTCCTAACTCGGGTGTTTTTTTAATCTTTTTCAACCAGGTTTCCCTGGCGACTTGCAATAGTTTGGGATAAGACAAACCCCAAACTTTCCAGTACAAAGGTAAGCTAAATAACATAATCTTATATAAATCTTTAGCTTAAATTGCTGTCTCATTGTTACAACACTTTGCGTTTTAAACTCTGCAGTGTAGTGTCATTTTTTTATATACAGTAACTGAGATACTTTACACGTTCTCATCGGTTGATAGGTATGTTTGGATGAGAGTATATCAAACAAGTTGTGACATTTTAGATTCGTGCGTACCTTTGAGCAATATTTAAAAAAAAATCAATAGTCGACTTTTTTGCGTGTTTACATAGCCTCATCAAAACACTCGGGGGTTGGAATTATTCTCAAAAATTATGCAAACCCGTGACATAGTCGAGGGCTATAGTCGAGGGTTTGCATAACGATCTCAAATTCTCTTTCTCCCCACCCCGCCTTGTGTTTAGATGAGGCTATGTAAACATGGAAAAAGTACTCTATTGCTAAACCATATTGTCGTTCAACACATCATTGACAAATTGCTTTTGTTTTCAGCCGGTGCGATGGCAGGGCCGTTTACAGAATAGCAAACGCGGTGTTAATCTTTGGCAAGAACCCAATCCGGTTCAGAACAAGTTTACTTTGTTCAAGGTCACTTAAGCTGAGGCTTAGAGCATTTTATAATTAAGTGTTGCAAAACCAAAACTAAGGTAATCAATTTAGCCATTCACAAGGGACACAAACAATCCAGTGACAGAACCAATCAAAGCACTGAGTAAATGCAACTGGCTTATGTGAAGGGCAGGAAGATGGAACGTATATGAACAAATCGTAATTGATTTCGGCTTCTCTTCTGATATGATGAAAAAATGGCGGAGATTTTTCATATCATGTAATGTAGCAATACAAAAATCAATTACTTTTTAACACTCTATAAGCTTAAGTCATGTCAAAGGATCAAGAAGTTTTAAAACTGTCAGGTTAACTTAAAGCTTAAACGTATGCTGATTCAATTGTATTGTGAGCTATATTGTCCGTGATAGGCTATCTTTGGGATAAATCAACATTTAAGTAGACATTTTAAAATTAAGTGATGATGAGCTCTAGCTCATAGGACACATAATTGTTTTTTATTTTTTTAGCTTTTTGTCCTTGGAAAATTTCATTTTAGTGTTCATGTTAGTAGGATTAAACTTATTTTTGTCATTACTGCCAAAATGCAAAAATGCCAAAATGTTTGGTTTTTTTACTTTTCTACTCTTACAAACATTTTAAGTGTTGTAAAAATTAGTAATAATAACAATGTAAACAACATCTTTATAATGCTTTATTTACTATTTGTGAAAAGTTTAAATGTTAGTATATATTTTATGCACTCTCTGCAAGACCTGCAAGAACAGCTTTTTGATCTGAGAAATCTGACATCTGTTCACAAAACTTCTGAACACAAACCAGGCAATTTTTCGTCGTGTTTTTTTTAGTGAAACTGAAAAAAGCTAAATAAACATGTTTTTAATTAATGAGAATGCAGAAGCTGTAACCTGTTTACATACATAATACCCAGAACAACTTAGGGCATTTACCTGACATAATATAAATTTTGGTATCTATAGAAGTCTGGAAAAGAGTCATCCCAATACAAGGGCAAGCCATGGGAAATATTGGTTCAAAATGTAAGTTGTTTTACATTCTTGTTATAGAGGCCCTCACCACCGAAGGCTACCATAGCATAAATTGTAGCGGGGTAACTAAGGGTATATTTCTGGAATTCTTATTCTAAGAATATGCTAACAGTTTGCTGCTAAGGGTGGTGAATGGTGAAACATACTAGCAAAAGTATGCCTCAGTGACATAACAACACAAGTTGACGAGGCTTGCTCAACACAACAACTTTATTCTCTAAGCATCTTGG